CCATCAATATATTTAATTCTATTAGAACTGTTGAAATTCCTGATACAAAATTTTGTCTTCCTGTCTGTTCTGTAAAACGTAAAGACTGGAATTTTGCCTGCTGCATTGTCAGTATAAAGCTTGACCTCTCAAAATGAGGCTCACAGATGTGTTTGAGAACAGGTGTTATGATATTTGCCCATTTTAGCTTAAATAGAGCAGGATGACGGCTTACATCTTTGCACCATTTATAAAACCTGCTACTGCCTAAAATGATATTTTCCTTTCCCTGTGGAAGTTTTTAAGACTTTCTTTGGGTTTGTCTTCTTCAGAGACAAAGAGAACTTTATAATCAAGTAGAAAGAACGAAATGTTGTTAGACAGAATATTTTACATTAGCTTCTAATCAACCTTCCACTTCATGAACTCTAACAGCTGTTTCACCAGCCAGCTGCAGAATCTATTTGCCGTCTTTGAATTAAAAAATTCAGAACGTGTAGTAACATCACTGGCAAACAGGAGCTCCTTCCAGTACTCTGAACCCCTGTTTAAGAAAGAACTTTCCCCCCAACTGAAACTTAAATTCCTTTATTTTACAATGGAGTAAGACTCTTTCTCTGTGGAATTGCACACACTAACATGAACAGGTCCATTCCCCAGATCATACAAGAGTGACTATGGAGCAATAGTAGAATGTATATACACAGTTATTATTTGGTGGACTGTCTGGGGTCATTCAGAACTTTCATGAATGGACACTAAAGTATTTGCCATTAGGTCTAAATGAGTTCTTGTTTTATTTTTGAATCAATGTGTCTCTATATACAGTTTAATTCACAAAGAAAATCAGAGCTGCTTATTACCAAAAAATAAAAAAAGAGGAGAGATTAAAATGTATTTTTAAAAATAAACAGGTTGCCTCATGAAATGAGATACCTTGAATGTAACTTATTAAGAACATTTGCCATTGTGAAGCATTGAAAATCAGGCAACAATATATAATATACTTTTCTCTCCATTTTTTAATGTTTAACATGTTCTGTTGTTGGTAAGCAACAGCCAACCTGAAGTATACCTATAATTTTTTACTCTCTCCACTTTCTTTCATATAATTTACTGTTAGAACCTTGTCAAGATGGCAATCACAATTCTAGTCAAGATTATTAGAAGTTACCACATCGAAGTGTATTTTATTTTGGATC